TTTGTTTCGTGGCCCCTTTGCAGCCCTTCGTGGCCCCCTCGCTTTGTTTCGTGGCCCCGTTGCAGCCCCTCGTGGCCTCTTCGTTGCCCTTCGTGGCCCCGTTGCAGCCCTTCGTGGCCCCCTCGCTTGGTTTCGTGGCCCTGTTGCAGCCCTTCGTGGCCCCCTCGCTGCCCTTCGTGGCCCCGTTGCAGCCCTTCGTGGCCCCGTTGCAGCCCTTCGTGGCCCCCTCGCTTGGCTTCGTGGCCCCGTTGCAGCCCTTCGTGGCCCCCTCGCTTTGTTTCGTGGCCCCATATATGTATGCCCTTCGTGGCCCCCGCTCGTTCGCCCCCGTTGTGGCCCCATATGTATGCCCTTCGTGGCCCCGCTGTCGCCCTTCGTGGCCCCCTCGCTGCCCTTCGTGTCCCCGCTGCTGCCCTCAGTGGCCCCGTCCGTACCCTCCGCGGCCCAACATACGTATGCCCTTCGTGGCCCCCGCTCGTTCGCGCCAATTGTGGCCCCATGTGCATGCCCTTCGTGGCCCCGCTGTCGCCGTTTGTGGCCCCCTTCATTGTCCTACGTGGCCCCGGTGCTACCCTCAGTGGCCCCATCGTTGCCTTCTGTGGCCCCGCATCATCTGCCCTTCGTGGCCCACGCTCGTTCGCGCTCTTCGTGGCCCCATACGCATTCCCTTCGTGTCCCCGCTGTCGCCCTTCGTGGCCTCCTTCGTGTCCTTCGTGGCTCTGCTGTCGTTCTCTCTCGCCCTCGCTTTCGCTCGTCGTCGTCGTCGCCGTCGCCGTCGTTGCCGTCGTCGTCGACGTCGTCGTCGTCGTCGTCGTCGTCGTCGTCGTCGTCGTCGTGGTCGGTCCCCTGTCCGTCCCTCTTGGGGTCGGGTCGACGGTCCGCGGCCGCCCCGCCGATCAGCGCTGCCGCTGGCCAGGCCGACGGTCCGCGGTCGCCCCGCCGCTTGCCGGGGCCCAGCCTGCAGGGAAGAAAGGTATACCCCCCAAAAGGGGTTCGATCGAAGACGAAAAGGGCGGGTATCGAGGGTTTGGGAAATTCGCGTTATTCGACACTCGAGCAGATAAGAGCGAACAGTCTTAAAATGATTGTTGTTGTTGTTGGTGGTAGTGGTGGTGGTGGTGTTGTTGCTGTTGTTGTTGCTGCTAGTTTCGGCCTCGGGGGGCCCTTACTGGGCTCGGGACCGTCAGAAAACGACGCAGGATGAAAAACTGGCCCCAGGGAAAGGGTCCAGACCACTGGGGGTCGACGTGGCGCTAAGAGCACGACGTGAGGAGTCTGGGCCTGGGTAAGGAGGCAGGGAGGTCTGGTCACACGACGGTGAGGGCACTGGGTGCTCCAGATTTCGTTCTGAAAGGGAGGGGGTCACAACCCTCCCAGACGAGAAGTTTCAGACCCCCCCAGACCATCCATGAAAGGGCGGCCCTTTGCCTGGACCCCACCGAGCCCTCCGAGACAGCTCAAATCGTACCCCCCCCCAAAATGGGACCCCCCCAACTGTATTATGGAATCCGGAGTAAGGAGGCGTTGCATCAGGAAGCCAGGGTCTGGAAGCTGGTGGGATTCCAGTCGCGGATCGGCCATGGACGTCACCGCCGGCCTCATCAGAGAAGGAAATTCCTCCAGGGTCCGAGGTCTCCTGGGCACACTCCTTAGAACGAACGCCTCCACCACAGGAAGGGATCCAGGGGTGGCTCAACGATGGGGTCCTGAGGGGAGGGGGGCCCTGAGGACCCACACCAGACCGCGCCGTGAACAGAGAATCAGGACGGGAGCTTTGTTCGCCGTTTTCGAGCCCTCGCTGGGCCCTGGCACCGTCACCCAGCGACTCGGGACGAGATGCGGTCCTGGGGCAGAAGGGGGTGGACTTCCGGGGACGCCGCGCCGAGCAGGAACCCGGAGGCCGCACGTCTGCGCCGGCCCTCTCCGCAGGCTCGGAGGGCCTGGGGCCTTCCGAGCAGCCCTCGGAGCCTCACCCGCAGACGCGGCACCCTCCCGAGGAGGCCCTGCCCCTCTCGCTCCCCCTCCCCGGGCGCGCCGCCGAGCTTCGGCCTGGGCGCCACCTCCTGGGACGACGCTCTCCCTGTGCCAGGCCAGCTCGGTGCGCGCAACGCCGCTCGCGCAGTGCCCCGCTGCGCGCCTGCGGGCGCGCGGCTCCGAGGACGCCCCGGAAGGCCGCCCGAGGCCTTCCGAGCCTGCGGAGAAGGCCGGCGCAGACATGCGACGCCCGGATTTTTGTTCGGCACGGCGTCCCCAGAAGTCCGGCCCTTTGTGCCCAGCACCGGCGCTTCATCCCGAGTCGTTCTTGGACGGTCTGGGGCCCAGCGAAGGCCCCCACAGGGCCCGAGAACACGGAAAAACAGCTTCCCGTCCTGATTTTCTGTTCACGACGCGGTCCTGTGTGGGTCCTCAGGCCCCCCTCCCTCAAACTGGTCTGGTGCACGGATGGCGTCGTCCAGCCTCTCCCCCCCTCCTCCTCCTCCTCCTCCTCCTCCTCCTCCTCCTCCTCCTCCTCCTCAGTCCTCCTCCTCCTCCTCCTCCCCTCCCCTCCTCCTCCTACTCCTACACCTCCTCCTCCTCCTCCTCCTCCTCCTCCTCCTCCTCCCTCTCCTCCTCCTCCTCCTCCCTCGGAAGCGCTTCCACTGGACGGCCAGCGCTCCCGCGCGGGGACCAAAAGAGCTGCTCGGCAGGTCGGCCGCCCGCGGCGCAGGCCGCGCGCGCGTGGCAGAGCCCCGCTCGGGGTCCGCCCTGGCCGCAGCACCCCGGCAGAGCGGCTCGCGTGGGGGGGGAGGGCTCCCTCGCCCGCGGCTCTACTCCCTCTTCTTGGCGCCTTCGGGGCTCCGGCTCGGGGCCTCGTCCGCCCCAAGACATGATCGCGTCGTAAACAAAAAACAGGAGGGCAATTTTTGTCGCTATTTTCGGCCCCTGGGGGCCCTCGCTGGGCCCCGGGAGCGGCAGAACACGACTCAGGATGAACAACCGCGGCCCCGGGGACAGGGTCGGGACTTCTGCGGACGGCCGTATTGAAAAAATCAGGACGTCGCATGTCTGGGCCCGCCTCGATCGGCACCGTCGAGGACATGGTCAAGAACAGGACCGCCGATGCCACGTTGAGCAGCGCCACCGACTGGAACGCCGCGGCCCAGCCGCCGGTCGCGTCGCGCAGGTGCGCCACCACCAGCGGCCCCACGGTGGAGCCTGCGCTGCCGACGGTGTTCCCTATCCCGCTGACCAGGCCGCCGCGGCTGGTGGTGACGTCCATGTAGTTCGCCTTGAAGCCGCTCGGGTGCAGGGCCAGGAATCCGAACGCCACGGAGAAGAACAGCGTCGCCCCAGCCGGGCTGGCGCAGGCGGGAACCAGCCCGAGGAAGAGCGCCAGCCCCACAAAGCCGAGGACGCTGAAGGTCCTGCGGCATTTTAGCGTATCGGCCCCCCAGCCCTTCATCCAGCGCTCTAAGGCTGGGTTCACTAGCACTTTCACCAACGAGTTTGCCACGTGCGGCATCGAGAGATGCAGCCCGGCCTGCTCGGGGCGGAGGCCGAACGTCTCGAGGTAGTACGTTGCAGACCAGCTGTTGACGAAGTAAACAGCGTAGTTGAATGTGAAATGCGACCCATAGATGGCCCACAGCCGCGCGTAGGTGACGCAATCGAGGAACCTCCACTTCCCCGAAGGTGTGTCCAGCTCCTTCTGCCCGTCCTTCTTCGGCAAAGCCCGCTCCAAGAAACTCCGCTCCTCGGCGCTGCAGTATGCGCAGCCGGCCGGGCTGTCGGCAGCCAGCCACGCCCAGACGAGGGCGTACGCCAGCATGCCCAGGCCGTAGACCGTGAACGTAGATCTCCAGCCAATCCAGACTGCGAGCACTCCCGACAGCGGAACCACGATCAGAGAGCCCAGGGTGATGCCAGAGTCTAGCGCCGTGCTTGCCACGGCCCGCTCCTCGCGTCGCCGTCGTCGTCGTCGTCGTCGTCGTCGTCGCCGTCGTCGTCTTCGTCGTCGCCGTCGTCGTCGTCGTCGTCGTCGTCGTCGTCGTCGTCGTCGTCGTCGTCACCGTCGCCGCCGTCGTCGTCGTCGTCGTCGTCGTCGTCGTCGTCGTCGTCGTCGTCGTCGTCGTTCTGGCGCCGTGCTTGCCTCCGCCCACTCCTCGGCGGGGAGCCACTGCGCGAGCAGCTGGATGCTTGCGGGGAAGAGCGGGCCCATGGTCACTCCCATGGCGACCTGGCAGGCGGCGATGCCTCCGAGCCCGAAGGCCGACGCAGCAGCAGGCGTCGCCGCCACCGCGAGGCCCGAGAGACCCAGCGCCCACGAGACCACGCTCTTGCCAGGATCCACCAAAGGGGGGGGTGACCCTGAGGGGGGGCATGAGCTCGATCAGCCGGCGCACCGAACTGCCGCAGACAGATGCCCCCCGCATGCCCCACCTGTCGGCAACCATCGGGAGCTGCCGGCGGCTGGGGGGCATCTGTTTTGCGCGGTTCTAGAAGCCTCCTGGATGGGGTCCGAGTAGAAGGGGTCGGAGGATCTCGCCGCATCGCCGATACATCCGCGATGCATCGCCGATGCATTGGTGATGCACCGGCGATGCACCGTCGACGTCGGCAACAAATCGGCGACGTCGACGCGAAGCATCTCGGGCTGCACGTCGAGCCTCATCGCCGATGCACCGGCGACGCGGCGCGATCATCCGACCCCATCTGCTCCGACCCCATCTGGGAGGCCTAGACGTCGTTCATTTCTAATCGTGCTAATTTCTAACTGTGCTCGTTTCAAGCTGTTTCTGGCCCCCGAGTGGCCAGGAAGAGGCCCAGGATAGAAGAATTAGAAGTGAAAGGATCTGGCCCCCCCCCAAAAATTCAAGACCTCCCGAAGAATTATAGAGATGAGCAATGTGTAGAGGCTCGGTGCAAAAGCCGATCGAACTCCCCCACCCCTCTGTGGCACCACCTCCCCCGTGGCGGGATCCCGCCCTTGCCACCCAGGCGGTCGGCCAGGCAGCCGCCGAGCACCTGCGTCGAGCAGTACCCCGCCGCGTGGGCAGAGAGGAGCCAGCCCTTCGCCCCCGCGCCGCACCGCATGTCCTCGCAGAGGGGGATGACGAGGGCCCCCATGGCCATGCGGAGGACCGTCTGGCTCACCTTGTGGGTGGCATGGCTTGGGGAGGAGGAGAAGGAGGAGGGGGAGGACGAGGAGGAGGAGGAGGAGGAGGAGGAGGAGGAGGAGGAGGAGGAGGAGGAGGAGGAGGAGGAGGAGTGAGAGGAGAGGAGGGGGAGGAGGGAGGAGGAGGAGAGGAGGAGGAGGAGGGGCAGGAGGAGGGAGAGGAGGAGGAGGAGGAGGAGGAGGAGGAGGAGGAGAGGAGGGGGAGGAGGAGGAGGAGAGGAGGAGGAGGAGAGAGGAGGTGGGGAGGAGGAGGAGGAGGAGAAGGAGGAGGAGGAGGAGGAGGAGGAGGAGGAGGAGGAGGAGGGAGGAGGAGGAGGAGGAGGAGGAGGAGGAGGAGGAGGAGGAGGAGGAGGAGGAGGAGGGGGAGGAGCAGGAGGCAGGAGTGTCTGGCATGTTCGAAGCATGATCCAAACGTGCTCCACAAGGCTCACCCTGCTGAAGAAGACCAGAGCGACCACCCAGTGGCGTGCCGCCAGGCGCGCTCCTCTCGGCGGCGCGCCCAAGGGGGGGGAAGCAAGACGGGTGCGCGGTTTCTCTTGGAGGGTGAAAGAGGGGGTCTGCCACAAGGGGTCTTCAATGGGGGCTGAATGGCCCATGTATGCTCAATGTACCGCTCATGTATGTGATCGGGAATGATTGGCATCCAATGTTGGCGGTCTCAGGAGGCCGGGAGGACTTCTGGGCTTTCCGAGAATCTCTGAAAGCCTGGAAGTCCTCCAGGCCTCCTGAGAAATGCTCTGAGCCTTGCGGGAAGTCTTCTGAGCCCTCCCCGAAGACGCGGAGCACTTCTCGGAAGGCCCGGAGGCTTCCGAGAAGCCCCGCCGCCTTCCGAGAAAGCCTCCTCCTTCTCACCTCCCCCCCTCGCTCGCCGGCGCCGACACGTACCCAAACCCCGGGAGTCGCGTTTTTTCACAACGTCAACCTCCAAAGGTCTGGGCCCTCCCTTCCCCGAGACGGTTTTTCATCCTGAATCGTTTTCTGACGGTCCCGAGGCCCAGTGAGGGCCCCCGGAGGCTGAACATAGCCGAAGCACCTCCCGCCGTGGCTTTCTGACAGCGCGAGGGGGTCTGGGCAGCCGCCATCCTGTTGGACGCCCAGAATGGGTACCGACAAAAATGGGTACGATGCCCAACGACAACTGTTGTCCCGAACCAACAGCGGCCGCTGTTGGGCAGGCGGCCTCCTGTCTCGAGTGGACACAGTCCGCGGCGACGCCGACAGCGAGCCCTGCTCAAGATGTGCAGGAACTGCTGTGAATCTTCGTGCCCATTCTTTCCGTACCCATTCCCAAACATCCGCCGAAATGTTTTTTTTTTTTGTTGTCAATCCGCGGCCCCAAGGGTCCCGACCCCTCCCCAGGGGTGTTCTTTCCCGGATCCGTTTTTGATGGCCCCCAGGCCCGACGACGCGCCCCGGAGCCGGAAATCCAGGCAAAACCGTCGGATTGAAAAAATCAGATCCTCGGACCTCTTGGTTTCTGAAGGGGCCCTGGGACACACAAATACATAGGCACAAATAAGAGGATTCCCCATATCTTATCATATTTTCTGGGTTTTCGTATTCCCCCCCCACTCCCCATAGTTTCCCATCTTTTCGGGGGAATCGACGATGAATCGTGCCTGTGTGTTCTTTTCCCCTCCGGAGCTTCGATCGTCCCGACTCCTCCCTTGGCATCGGCGTCGTGCCGTCGCCGGCTCTCTGCGGACTCGCCCAGCACCCCGGTCACCGCCATGCCGCCGGCGGAAAAGGCAGCGGCGCAGAGGCACCGGGGGATTTTGGGGCGGGGCCCCCGGGGCCGCGGAAAATCTCGGCCGGGCCAGCTGCCCGCCCTGCGGCTTGAGCGAGGAGGAGGAGAGGAGGAGGAGGAGAGGGAGGAGGGGGGTGAGGTGCGGAGGAGTAGGAAGGGAGGAGGAGGAGGAGGAGGAGGAGGAGGAGGAGGAGGCGGGGGAGGAGGAGGAGAGGAGGGAGGAGGAGGAGGGAGGGAGGGAGGGGAGGGAGGGAGGGAGGGAGGGAGGGAGGACGGGAGGAGGGAGGGTCGTAGGGAGGGCGGGAGGGAGGGAGGGAGGGACGGGAGGAGGAGGAGGAGGAGGAGGAGGAGGAGGATGGAGGAGGAGGAGGGGAGGAGGAGGAGGAGGAGGAGGAGAGTAGGAGGAGGAGGGAGGAGGGAGGAGGAGGAAAGAGGAGGAGGAGGAGAGGAGGAGGAGGAGGATGGAGGAGGAGGAGGAGGAGGAGGAGGAGGAGGAGGAGGAGTAGGAGGAGGAGGAGGAGGAGGAGGAGGAGGAGGAGGAGCCAGGCCGGGGCAAGGAGAGACGCGCTCGAGCACGCCCTCTCGCCATGCTCAGGCCCCCCCTCGCGTGGTGACCAAACATCGCGTCGGGAGGTTTCTCTTCGCTGTTTTCGGCCCCTGGGGGGCCCTTACTGGGCCTGGGCGCGTGGACAAAAACGACTCAGGATGAAAACCCAGTCCCGGGGAAGGGGTCCAGACCTCTGGGGAGTCGACGTCGTGACAAAACTCACGACGTCGGGGCTTTCGCGAGTCGCCCACGGATATCACCGCCGCCCTCGTCAGAGAAGGAATACCCCTACGGCTCTGACGAGGCCCAAGGACACACACACACAGCTAGATACGACTCCCAGGATTCTGAATCGTTTCCCATCTTTTCGGAAATTTCGTCTTCCCCCTCCGCTTCGCATGGTTCCCCATCTGTTCCTGGGAATCTACGCTTACTCGTGTCTGCGTGGCTTTGCCCCTCATGGCCCCCCCCCTTCGTCCTGCTTCTGCTGAGTCTTGCCTCCGTCCCCCGGAGATCCAGGCCACGGGCTTGGGAGTGCTCCGCCTTCTCTGGTCCTGCTCGGCCCTCCCGGGACGTCGGCGGGCCCTCGCCATCGCTCGGACGTCCATTCCCTGTGTTTTTTTCGGTTTCGCGCGTGGTTGTTTCGCCAAATGATGAAGGATGCTCCTCGATGGTCCGAAGGAAAAATGCACACGTCCGAGCGATGTCAAGGGTCAGGATCCAGGGCGGAGCCAAGCATGTGGCCACCTGCTTGTCTTTCTTTCCTGCTGGCCCTGCCCGTGGGGACCCCTGCCAAGAAACACCCTGCTCGCCTCCAGGGTGCCCCGGGTTTCCCCGGGTTTCCTGGGTGTCGATGGTTTTGCGATGGAGAGCGCGACGCTCCCACACCAAAGATCCATGGACGTCCTGGGGTTTCGTGTTTTCCCAACCATCCTGTGGTGTTGGGTCCTCGTTTTGAAGAAACGGTCCCCGTGTTCCTTCTCCTCCTTCTCCTCCTCCTTCTCCTCGCCCTCCTCCCTCCAGGGTTCGCATGCCTCCCCACCACCCATTTCGGCACACCCCTCACACGTTTCGTGGCCCCATAGGCAGCTCCATCGAAGGCCCCAGTGGCTGCGTTCGCATGCCTCCCCACCACCCATTTCGGCACACCCCTCACACGCTTCGTGGCCCCATAGGGAGCTCCACCAAAGGCCCCAGTGGCTGCGTTCGCATGCCTCCCCACCACCCATTTCGGCACACCCCTCACACGTTTCGTGGCCCCATAGGGAGCTCCCCCGAAGGCCCCAGTGGCCGCGTCCGCATGGCGGCGCCGCACCCATTTCGGCACAGCCCTCACACGTTTCGTGGCCCCATAGGGAGCTCCACCGAAGGCCCCAGTGGCAGGGTTCGCATGCTTCCCCACCACCCATTTCGGCACACCCCTCACACGTTTCGTGGCCCCATAGGGAGCTCCACCGAAGGCCCCAGTGGCTGCGTTCGCATGCCTCCCCACCACCCACTTCGGCACACCCCTCACACGTTTCGTGGCCCCATAGGGAGCTCCACCGAAGGCCCCAGTGGCTGCGTTCGCATGCCTCCCCACCACCCATTTCGGCACACCCCTCACACGCTTCGTGGCCCCAATTGGGAGCTCCACCGAAGGCCCCAGTGGCTGCGTTCGCATGCCGTTCCACCACCATGTCGCACACCCGTCACACGGTTTCGTGGCCCATAGGGAGCTCCACCGAAGGCCCCAGTGCTGCCGTCCGCATGCGTCCCGCGCACACATTTCGGCACACCCTCACACGCTTCGTGGCCCCATAGGGAGCTCCACCGAAGGCCCCATGGCTGCCGTCCGCATGCGTCCCGCACACCCATTTCGGCACACCCCTCACACGTTTCGTGGCCCCACAGGGAGCTCCACCGAAGGCCCCAGTGCTGCCGTCCGCATGCGTCCCGCACACCCATTTCGGCACACCCCTTCACACGTTTCGTGGCCCCATAGGGAGCTCCACCGAAGGCCCCAGCGCTGCCGTCCGCATGCGTCCCGCACGCCCATTTCGGCACACCCCTCACACGTTTCGTGGCCCCATAGGGAGCTCCACCGAAGACCCCAGTGGCTGCGTTCGCATGCCTCCCCACCACCCATGTCGGCACACCCCTCATACGTTTCGTGGCCCCATAGGGAGCTCCACCGAAGGCCCCAGTGGCTCCCCACCACCCATTTCGGCCCACCCCTCACACGTTTCGTGGCCCCATAGGGAGCTTCACCGAAGGCCCCAGTGGCTGCGTTCGCATGCCTCCCCACCACCCATTTCGGCACACCCCTCACACGTTTCGTGGCCCCATAGGGAGCCCCACCGAAGGCCCCAGTGGCTGCGTTCGCATGCCTCCCCACCAACCATTTCGGCACACCCCTCACACGTTTCGTGGCCCCATAGGGAGCTCCACCGAAGGCCCCAGTGGCTGCGTTCGCATGCCTCCCCACCACCCATTTCGGCACACCCCTCACACGTTTCGTGGCCCCATATGGGAGCTCCACCGAAGACCCCAGTGGCTGCGTTCGCATGCCTCCCCACCACCCATTTCGGCACACCCCTCACACGTTTCGTGGCCCCATAGGGAGCTCCACCGAAGGCCCCAGTGGCGCGGTGCCTATGAGAAGAGGGGCCTAGTTTGCGTGCCCCCTCCTTCGTCTCATATCCGTGCGGTACTCGCAGCTGCATATGGTTGGGTCCTTCGCCAGGCTATTTTTTATGTTTTCCCTAAAAGCGAAGACTGATAGGTTTCCAGTGGTGTCAAAAGAAAGCATCTGATGACTCAGAAGGGAGGTCTGGGCGGCATCCGGACAGCGAGGGCCGGGCTCAGGGCCGGGCTCGTTTTAAGCAAACAGTCACACACTTCGTGCTTTTCGACCTTCCAGAACTCCATTCCCGGGCCACATTTTGGATGCTCGGAGCCAACTGTAAGCCACTTCGTGCTCTTCGACTTCCCAGATCTCCATTCCCGGGCGGCATTTGGGATGCCCGGAGCCAACTGTAGGCCACTTCGTGCTCTTCGACTTCCCAGAACTCCACTCCCGGGCCACATCGTTATCTCATTTGGAGATACCGTTATCGAAAGCAGTGTTTCTACTGCTACTACCAGTGCTCCCATCACTCCTACTCGTTCACTCCACACACTACAACTACTACTTCACTGATACCACTACTACCATCACTACTACTTCTACTGCTACTACTACTGCTACTATTACTGCTGCTGCTGCTGTTGCTGCTGCTAGTGTAGCTATTGCTACTGCAACTACTGGCGGTGCCACTGCGACTGCCGCTGATGTTGCCACTGCGACTGCCACTGCGAATCCGAATGCGACTGCGAGAACACCAGAATTCTACAACAGCGCTCTTACATGAATACCACAGGCAATGTTTCCAGCTATGCTTCTACACATCGCTGTTAGGTTGCTTCGCCGGGATATTTTTACCTAACAGCGAAGACTGATAGGTTTCTAGTGGTGTCAAAAGAGAGCATCTGATGACTCAGAAGGGAGGTCTGGGCGGCATCCGGACAGCGAGGGCCGGGCTCAGGGCCGGGCTCGTTTTAAGCAAACAGTCACACACTTCGTGCTCTTCGACCTCCCAGAACTCTATTCCCGGGCCACATTTTGAATGCCCGAAGCCAACTGTAGGCCACTTCGTGCTCTTCGACTTCCCAGAACTCCATTCCCGGGGCCGGCAGTTTTTTTTAATGGCCCGGAGGCCCGGTTAGGCCACCTTCGTGCTCTTCGATTTCCCAGAACTCCATTCCCGGGCCACATTTTGGATGCCCGGAGCCAACTGTAGGCCACTTCGTGTTCTTCAAGTTCCCAGAACTCCATTCCTGGGCATGATTTTGAATGCCCGGAGCCAACTGTAGGCCACTTCGTGAGGCTTGCTGCTGAAGGATGAGCTGGCGGAGGCTGAGGCCGACGGCCAGACTGAGGCTGAGCGCTGAATGCAGGTGAGACTGAGGCTGAGGCAGCATGAGCTCTGAGGCTGAGGCTGAGGCAGGCTGCTGCTGCGGCAGGCGAGCAGAGCTGAGGCTGATGCAGGCTGAGGCTGAGGCAGGCTTGAGGCCGAGGGCCGAGGCTGGAAGGCAGGCTGAGGCTGAGGCTGGCTGAGGCTGAGGCTGAGGCTGAGGCAGGCTGCTGCTGAGGCAGGCTGAGGCTGAGGCAGGCTGAGGCTGAGGCTGAAGCAGGCTGATGCTGAGGCAGGCTGAGGCTGAGGCTGAGGCTGATGCAGGCTGAGGCTGAGGCAGGCTGAGGCTGAGGCTGAGGCTGAGGCTGAGGCTGAGGCTGAGGCAGGGCTGAGGCTGAAGGCAGACTGAGGCTGAGGCTGAAGCAGGCTGAGGCTGAGGCTGAGGCAGGCTGAGGCTGAGGCTGAGGCAGGCTGATGCTGAGGCAGGCTGAGGCTGAGGCTGAGGCTGATGCAGGCTGAGGCTGAGGCCGAGCTGCTGAAGGCCAGACTGAGTCTGAGGCTAAAGCCAGTCACGATGCTAAGGCTAGGCTTTGCCCACAGCTGCTGAGGCAGCTGATGCTGAGGCAGGCTGAGGCTGAGCTGAGCTGATTGCAAGCTGAGGCTGAGGCAGGCTGAGCTGAGGGGGGGGGGGGGGCCCCGGGAAAAGGCTGAAGGCAGACTGAGCTGAGGCTGAAGCAGGCTGAGGGGCTGAGGCAGAGGCAGGCTGAGGCTGAGGCTGAGCAGGCTGATGCTGAGGCAGGCTGAGGCTGAGGTGAGGCTGATGCAGGCTGAGGCTGAGGCAGCCTGAGCTGACGCCGAGGCTGAAGGCAGACTGAGGCTGAGACTGAAGCATGCTGAGGCTGAGGCTGAGGCTGAGGCTGAGGCTGAAGCAGGCTGATGCTGAGGAGGCTGAGGCTGAGGCTGAGGCTGAGGCAGGCTGAGGCTGAGGCAGGCTGAGGCTGAGGCCGAGGCTGAAGGCAGACTGAGGCTGAGGCCGAAGCAGGCTGAGGCTGAGGCTGAGGCAGGCTGAGGCTGAGGCAGGCTGAGGCTGAGGCTGAGGCAGGCTGATGCTGAGGCAGGCTGAGGCTGAGGTTGAGGCTGATGCAGGCTGAGGCTGAGGCAGCCTGAGGCTGACGCCGAGGCTGAAGGCAGACTGAGGCTGAGGCTGAAGCAGGCTGAGGCTGAGGCTGAGGCAGGCTGAGGCTGAGGCAGGCTGAGGCTGAGGCTGAGGCAGGCTGATGCTGAGGCAGGCTGAGGCTGAGGCTCAGGCTGAGGCAGGCTGAGGCTGAGGCAGGCTGAGGCTGAGGCCGAGGCTGATGCAGACTGAGGCTGAAGCTGAAGCAGGCTGAGGCTGAGGCTGAGGCAGGCTGAGGCTGAGGCTGAGGCAGGCTGATGCTGAGGAAGGCTGAGGCTGAGGCTGAGGCTGATGCAGGCTGAGGCTGAGGCAGCCTGAGGCTGACGCCGAGGCTGAAGGCAGACTGAGGCTGAGGCTGAAGCAGGCTGAGGCTGAGGCTGAGGCAGGCTGAGGCTGAGGCTGAGGCAGGCTGAGGCTGAGGCAGGCTGAGGCTGAGGCTGAGGCTGATGCAGGCTGAGGCTGAGGCAGGCTGAGGCTGAGGCCGAGGCAGAAGGCAGACTGATGCTGAGGCTGAAGCAGGCTGAGGCTGAGGCTGAGGCAGGCTGAGGCTGAGGCAGGCTGAGGCTGAGGCTGAGGCAGGCTGAGGCTGAGGCTGTGACTGCGACTGCCGTTGCCACTGCGACTGTCATCGCGAATGCGACTACGACTGCGAGAACAGCATAATTCTACAACTGGATTATCATCTGAATCTTAAGGGGAATGCTTCCGGATATGCTCCTACACATCGCTGTTAGGCTGCTTTGCCGGGATAATTCAAAAAAATGAAAAAAAAGAAACAACCCAGTTCTCGCTGAGTTCTTTAGTTCACCTGTCGGAAGGTGGTGGGCAGGCCAGCCCAGCAGTCCAAACGTGGAGCGCACCGGCAGTCGGGATCCTGTTGGGAGCACCCGCCTGCCACGCGGCGTACCTGGAGCACGCATCGGCAGCGCTTCATCAACACTTACACTGACAGGAGGGGCAGCAGCACGAGTGAGCAGACGAGACCTCGGTTGTGTCTCAGGGTTCGGATTCTTGTGGTCGGGGGGGCCCCTGCTGTGCTCCTCCGACTCCCGCTGATCCCCAGACGTCCTGCGGCTCTTTCGAGGCACGGGCCCCCGACCTCTCGGCCAACTCCCAGGGGACCAATGTTGCATCCTCCCGAGTCCTCCTCCTCCTCCTCCTCCTCCTCCTCCTCCTCCTCCTCCTCCTCCTCCCGAGTCGTGTTCTGACGGCCCCGCGGCCCGGTGCGGGCCCCGAGAGGGCGAGAACGAGGCGGAGCCTTCGCCCCGAGGTTTCCGAGACGCCGGCTGCCACGCTGGAAGGGGCCTCTCAGGCTTCCGTCAGGCCTGCGCAGTGCCCACGTAAGACCAGGAACGCGGCCGAGCACAGGAGGGCGTGCAGGCAGCTGCTCCAGACTTCGTAACAAGAGGGAGGGGGTCTCATTTCGGGGGGGGGGTCTCTTCCAGGCTATCTTGGAGGGCCTGGGGGGGTCTGGGGACGATGTTTTGGAGGGTTCTCCCACGGGGGGGGGGGTCTGAAATGGCTTGTCTTGGAGGGTCCAGACCCCCTCCCTTTTATGACGAGATCTGGAGTACGGAGCTCGGGCATGCAGAAGCAAGGTGCGGACGACGCTGCAGAGCCCTGGGAGGGCAGAGCATTGACAGCGCGAGCAGCAAATCTGTGAGTGGCCGTGGGGCCTCCTCTCCCACCAGCGGCGGGTCCTCCTCGGGGCGTGCCCCCACGATCGGGGCTGCCTCTTGACTGAGGCCGGCGGCCGGCGGCGAGCGGACCCCAGGCTGCTGGGGTCTTCCGTCCCTCCTCCTGCCGCCGTGCAGTCTGCGGCGGCAGGCTCGCTGCCATGCCGACTTCGGCGCTGGTTCCCGACACCGCGGGGACCGTTCCGCCTTGAACGATCGGCGCTTTCCGACACGTCTGACCGTCCAACATCGGCCAACTCTTGAACGCTCGGTCGTTTCCGAAACGTCTGATCGTCCAGCATCGACCAGTTCTTGAACGATCGCCCGTTTCCGAAACGTCCGTTTCCGAACATCGACGATTCTTGAGCAATCGGCCGCTTCCGAAACGTCTGATCGCTCAACATCGACCGATTCTTGAAAGATCGGCCGCTTCCAAAACGTCTGACCGTTCAACATCGACCGATTCTTGAACGCTCGGCCGTTTGATCCTCGGGCGCCTGCCAACATGGACTAGCTTGTCGTCGCTCGGACGTCCATTTCCCGTGCATTTTTCGATGTCGTGCGTGTTTTTTTTGCTCGATGGTCCAGGATGGTCCTCGATGGGTCTTGCCGAGAAAACATGCACACGTCCGAGCGATGCCAAGCTAGGGGCCCGTGGATCTGGCGCGTGGGCGCCAGATCAGCGGATCGGGGAAGGCGCCCCCGAAGCACGGCGCCACCGCCCGCTCTGCTGGTGGAGCGCGCCGAGGGAGCATGGAAACGGGACCCATCGCTAATCCACGACTGAGCATTTTCTTAGGGTGGAGGGTCCAGGGTGAAATCCATAGGCTTTTGCACCTCGAAAATCAATCCGTCTTGTGATTCACCTCTTGCAGATTCAAACTTCGAAAATCCATCGAAGCGGCATTTCAGATTTCACCCTTTGCCCTCCACCCAATGAAAATGCTCGGCACGAGCCCTAACCCATGCTGGCGCTCCCTCGAGATCGGCCGTTCCCGCCATTCTCAGCAGGAGCAGAGGAGTGGCAGAGAGATGAGGAGGGGAAGGATGAGCAGGGAGAAGGCCAAGTGGAGAAGAGTTAGGTCGGGCATGTCCTCCGGCAGGCGGATTTTGGGTGCAAAGAGACAGCCAACAAACAATCAAACACAGTCGACGCATCGCCTCCAAACCATGCTCTGCCAATATTTTCCCCTCTTCCTCCTGCAGTGGGACATGCCCGACTCGAGAGACGAGGAGAAGCAGAGAGGCAAAGCCATGGCCAAGAGGCGAGACCGGAGGCGGCGGCAGGGACACGCGAGCCTCCCGGCGGCCCGGCGCCCTCGCCTTGCTCCGCCGGCGCCTCCCGGGCGGAGAGGAGCGGGTGGGCAGAACCCGTGCCTCTCCCCCACATGAGCTGATGTGGGAGGGAGGAGGAGGAGGAGGAGGAGGAGGAGGAGGAGGAGGAGGAGGAGGAGGAGGAGGAGGAGGAGGAGGAGGAGGCGGAGGAGGAGGAGGAGGAATGGAGGAGGAGGAGGAGGAGGAGGAGGAGGAGGAGAAGGAGGAAGAGGATGAGGATGAGGAGGAGGATGAGGATGATGATGATGATGATGATGAGGAGGAGGAGGAGGAGGAGGAGGAGGAGGAGGAGGAGGAGGAGGAGGAGGAGGAGGAGCAGGAGCAGGAGGAAGAGGAGGAGGGGCGGCTGGAAGCACGAAGGCACGGAGCTCGCCCGCGCGTGCAGAAGAGGAGGAAACGGCATGGACATGACCCGCGCAGACTTTTTCGATCTGCGCTCGGACCCCCCTCCCTGGCGCGCTCCGCGCGCCAGGGGCGGCGCCGGAGGCGCCGCCAGGGGGGGGCCCAGCGCGCACCCGAGAAATCCGCGCGGAGCGCCAACAGTTTATGTTTATGGCGCTTTTGTCTCCTCTTCGAACATGGGCACCGTCTGGGGTGCTGCGGGTGCGGAACAATATGGGGCATCAGAAATCCAGCTCGTTGTCGTTCCGGGGGCCGTTCTTGAACGTGTTCGTACGTGGTGCGACGTGACTGCGACCCAATATATTCCCAAAACTTCGCCGATCCTGCATTGAAAATCTGCTCTCCCTCGTGCTGGAGGTCCCCTGCTCTCATCCCCTCCGTTGCGCTTGCCCTTTCCTCGACATCCGGCTGCTCCGATTGTTTCGATGCATGGGCCCGGGATGTCCGGACCCCTTCCCTAGAGCTGAATCGTTTTTGGAGCTCCCGAGGCCCGGCGAGGGTCCCCGGAGGCCAGAAGCAGTGAGAACCGCCCGCTCAAACTTCTCCGGAGCGTCGGGCCTCCAGGCTCCCATCGTCCTCACATACCTTCCCTCCTCCTCTTCCTCTCCACTCCCGGACCCTGGCCCTCCTGCGTCACGATCGGGATAATCAAGCTCCCTGCATTTGCCGATTTGCTCTCCGCACTTGCCTCCCAATGCTCGTCGTTCCCAGCTCCCAGCACGAATCCTTGCGTGCCCCCAATCACTGCCCATCATCTAGGGCAACTATCTTCGCGCTTCGCGCTCCGCGAAACACGATGCGCAATTGTCTTAGCGCTTTCGCGCCGCCCCCACCCAGAAACAAGATGAGGGACTCGCGCCTCGCTCTGAAATCGCCCAGACCGCGAAGCGCGACTAACTTCGCATCTTCTCTTTCTATCATTCCTCAATCGTTCTCATGTCTCCTCTTAGTCTCCTAATGTTTCCCGTGCTCCACTCCTCCCCTTTATCGCGGCAAAGCTACGCCATCCATTCCAAGAGGAACTGCTGACATTGCGTACAGTGGAAGAAAAGCTGAAGTACCCTCGAAATGGAAAGGAGGATGAGAAGGCCGACGACGCCGACAATCAGCAACGACAAGAAGAGGAGGGGCTTGAAAAGGGGGCGGAAGCGGAGGATCCCCTCCCCGTAAAACAACTGAAACAACATACCCATCATCTCACCCCATCCCTCTGCCTACCCCAAGCACGCGATGCACAGTTCCAGCCCAGACGAACTGGCGCAATTGGCGCCTTCGCGACAGCCATGCGCGTCGATACGTCGCGTGCTGGAGACACGCTTACTCAATCCTCCTCCTCCTCCTTCTTTTCCTTTTCCTGCTCCTCCAACTCCTCCTCCTACTCCTCCTTCCCCTCCTCCTCTTCCTCCTCCTCCTCCTCTTCATCCCCTCCTCCTCCTTCTTTTCATCCCTCCCCCTCCTCCTCCTCCTCCTCCTTTTCATCCATCCTCCCTCACTCCTGCTCTTCTTCATGCCTCCTCTTTGCCATCTTCGTCCCCGTCCTTTGCCAGCCCCCTGGAAAATTTCGTTACTGGCGTGCACGACTGCTGATATGAGACCCCTTCTCCTCCTCTGACCCCTCCTCCTCCGCTGCCTCCTCCCCCCTCCCCTATCTATTCTCCGATTCCTCTCCCCCTCCCCCTTCCCCGTCCCTCTCCCCTCCCAGACATGCGACGTCCTGATTTTTTCAGGACGGCGTCCCCGCAAGTCCCGACCCTTTCCCCGGGACCGGTTTTCCGTCCTGAGTCGTTTTTTGACGGTCCCGAGGCCCGGCGAGGACCTCTAGAGGGCGAAAATATTAAAAAACCGCCCGTCCTGATTTTTTTACGACGCCATCATGTCTGGGCTCCTCCCTCTCCTGCGGCGGAGCGCAGCTCCCGGAGCGCACTGAGCACGGGTATAACGGGT